GTTATTATAATGAAAATACTTATTATTGTAAAAATATGACGCTCATACATCTCACTGCAAAATGGGTCATTTTTAAAGCGCTTATGAAAATAAAGTGTCATGTACTTGTTTTATATATTCGTGGAGTTACATCCTCCCTCGATACCTGAGTGAGACCCTACAACATAATACAATGTAAATCATATGATAAGATACAAATCTCTAAACAAAAGATTTGTTAAACTATATTTTCACAATGGAGTGATCATAACTATATGATTGATATTAACTATAGTGATCATATAAGATTTGTCTATAATATTATAGAATGATCCTCAAATGAAATCGGAGTGAGGACAAAATCATTGCACACTGCGGATGTTTTTACTTGGACTGTAATTTGCTGGTCTGGTCTGGTTTGGTAACGTTTGATCTTTTTGAAATCATTGCACAATACATATGTTTTTTTTTGAAAGGAATATTATTAATTATCATTAAGCAAATCGTTGGCTAAAGCCGGAACAATGAATGAAGGAGGAAAATCAACCCATAACTGCGAATCAGACAAAGAACAAGCTTCCCTAGCTAACAAATGGGCCGACTTGTTCGCTGATCGCCTCACATGACAAAATGAAATGAACGAAAATGAATTCGCTAAATCTCTAATGTCGTCTCTCAAAAGGCCCACCAAGGAGCAGCTTGAACCTTCAAGGATTTCCGATATTGCCCGAGCTGCATCAGATTCAATTTCCACCGAAGTTATACCATACTCCTTGAGCCAACTCATCGCCTCCCGGATACTCATAAGCTCGCTCCCAATACTGACATAATACCCGGCCAAGGTGGTGACGCCCCTGCTACGAACTGGCCATCCGAGTTTCTCAAGCACCACCCTAACCCACATCGGTCTTCCCGCTTTGCCGCATCCACGTTCAACTTCCATCTACCCTGATCCGGTTTACTCCAGGAAGCACGTCCCTGCTGGACTGTCGGTGTTCTTCTTCCTCTGGCAACCTGCTGCTGCGCTTGCTGCCAGCCTTCCACGAGAGCTCGAGCCCGATGCACTGCTTGTGCCGCTGCAGAAGTATCACTCTGCCAAACTCTCTTGTTTCTCTCTGTCCAGATCGCCCAGCAGCCCCAGACCAAGTGTATAAGGTCCGTCTTCTTCTTCCTCCGGAACTCCTCATTAATTTGCTCCAAAAAATCCACATCTTCCGCCGTGCTCCACTGCCACCGAAGCTCTGCCCAAAGGTCTTTCGCAAATGAACAGACCCTAAATAAATGCTCAAGTGACTCAGGAGCCTCTCCACACAGACCACAAAGCCCCGAACAATCAACTCTTCGTACCTGCAAATTAAGTCTCGAGGGAAGGCAACCGCTACAAAACTGCCAAAAAAACATTTTAATTGTAGGCGGAATGTTGAAACTCCACATAGCAGTCCAAAGCATCCCCGACTGGTTACCGAGCTCTCCCCTCAGCCGTCTATAGCAGCTACGGACCGAGAAATGGCCGCTTTCCTCCCATCTCCAACAGATAGAATCCGCCAAAGAAGACCTCTTCAAAGGAATGCCCCGAATAAGAGCCGCGTCTCTTTCCTCAAAGATGTCATCAATGATGTCTCTGTCCCACTCTCTACGATCAGTACAAACAAGATTAGCCACCACTGCATCCTTCAATTCTTCAAATTTTTCAGAAATAATCCTAGGATTCTCCCTATCCGGAAGCCATGGCTCCTCCCAAATATTAATAGAATGCCCATCACCTACTCGCCAGTAATACCCCTCTCGAATGACGTCTTGAGTATGGATCAGGCTTCGCCAAATAAAAGACGGATTATTCCCCGGTTTTGCAGTTAAAAAACTCCCTTTGGGGTAGTAACGGGTTTTAAAGACTCTCCCCACAAGTGAATTGAATCGGGATTTGTAAAAATTCGCCAGGCCTGCTTAGCCAGCATAGCAGTATTAAAGTCTCTGAGTCTTTTAAACCCCAACCCGCCCGCACTTTTCGGAGCACTCAGTGCTGCCCAATCCTTCCAATGAATTCCCTTCCCCGCCTTACCTTTCCACCAATACCCATTCATAATAGTCTCAATCTCCCGACAAAGATCAACAGGTAAAAGGAAAACATTCATAGAATAAGTAGGCATTGCCTGAATCACTGCCTTCAACAAAACCTCCCTCCCCGCTTTAGATAAAAATTTGTTATTCCAGATATTAATGCGGTTAATAATTCTTTGTCTGAGGTAACTTAAGATATTTTTCCGGTTCCGCCCAACAAGAGCCGGTAACCCCAAATATTTCTCATCCTCTCCAGCCAGACCAACACCCAATAAATCAATAAGCCCCTCACGGTGCTCAGTGACAGATTAGAGCTAAAGAACACCTTAGATTTATTAAAATTGATTACCTGACCAGACGCATCCTCATAATCCGCCAGGATCTCTTTCACCAAAGAAGCTTCATCATGACAAGCCCTAAAAAATAGCAGACTATCATCTGCAAAAAATAGATGTGAAATCATGGGAGCCCCCCGAGCAATGGAAACACCATGTAACCTACCCATCGCCTCATATTTACGGAATAAAGCACTAAGACCTTCGGCCACCAGGAGGAAAAGATAGAGGGAGAGAGGATCCCCCTGACGTAATCCCCTCCCCGGTGCAGCCAGATCAATCAGTCCATCATCAAATGGAATAGAATAAGAGACAGAGGTCACACACTCCATGATCAACCCGATCCACCTCTCATCAAAGCCCAAACATCTCATCATCCCTTCCAGGAAAGGCCATTCCACTCGGTCATAAGCCTTACTCATATCACGCTTAAGACCAACAAGACCGACCTTTCCTTGGCGTTTACACTTCAAAAAATGTTGAGACTCAAATGCCAGCATAATATTATCAACAATATATCTACCCGGGATGAAGGCACTTTGTTGTTCAGAGATGCAAAGATGCAGAATATTTTTCATCCTGTTAGCCAGCATTTTGGAAAAAAATTTATAGATCACATTGCAAAGTGCAATAGGTCTCCACTCGCTCATGCTCTTCGGGGAATCATTTTTGGGAATAAGCACAATATGAGTATGATTAATGTGATTCAGAAGCTTACCAGTCTCAAAAGTATGTCTGCAAAACTTCACAATATCTGGTCCCACTAAATCCCAGAAATGCTGATAGAATCCAGGACTGAACCCATCCGGCCCTGGCGATTTATCAGGAAACATGTCAAAAGCTGCTTTTTTAACCTCTTCGCTACGAACTGGGCCCAAAAGATTAATGTTATGATGGCCATCCAGCCGTCGGTCAACACACTCAAGAACAAAGTCCGTCCTTCCATTCCTTGCAGTGAAAAGATGGTTAAAATAATCCCCAATGATTCTGCCGACTTCCGACCGGTCCGTTTCCCAATGCCCATCCGCTGCCTGGAGTCCCGCTATTTTATTCTGTCGCCGTATGCTCTTGACAGAATTATGAAAAAAGCGCGTATTCAGATCCCCTCCTTGAAGCCAGAACTCCTTCGCCCTTTGTCTCCAATACACATTTTCTTTTTCAAGCAGATCCATATATTCCTTCTTAACTTTATTAAATTCATTGACTCCCCATGGATCCCATCGTCTACGGAGAAAAGCAAGCCTTTTTTTGCAGAACGAAATGCGTTTGCCATAAGACCCTGTCTTATTATGACCCCACTCACCAACTGCTTTTCCACAAGTAGAGACTTGCCCCATAATTCCAAAATCACGCCCAAGATCCCAGCTGCGAGCAACAATTTCTCTGCAATCCGTCTCCCGCAGCCAAACATTTTCAAACTTAAAATTGCATCTCCCATGAAGTCGCTGTGTGGGAAGAATTTTGAGAAAAAGTGTCATGTGGTCACTAGGAGCCCCCCTCAAGCGACTCAGCAACTGCCTCTCCAAAAATATCTAGCCAGCTTTCAGAAACGAGAATTCTATCAAGTTTTTCCTCCACCCAGTTCGGAGATCCCCTCCAACGCTCCCAGGTAAATTGGTATCCCGAAAAGGAGAAGTTTCTCATACCACTAGCCCAGACAGTTTCCCGAAAGCCCTTAAGCAACCAAGGTGGGTGAGGAACACGACCTCTCTTCTCAGAAGCAAACATTAGATCATTGAAATCTCCCATGACAAGCCAAGGCCTGTCAGTGCCCTGACTCAAAGATTTGAGAATATTCCAGGATTCTCTCCTTCTTGAACGTTCTGGGCACCCATAAAAGCCCGTAAACCGCTAGTCAGGAGCTCCATCTTCAAGTTTAATGCTTGTATCAATAAAATGGTTTGAGGACCCTTCAATGTGGATCCGCACACCCGATCTCCAAAGCAAAGCAAGGCCGCCACTATGACCAACACTTTCCACCGGAAAAAAATGATTCAACCCAATTTTGCGCATAACCTATTCAATTTTGTTAACATTAGAGAAAGTTTCCATGAGAAAAACCATGGATGGCCTCTTCGAGTGAACCACGTCCACTAGAGCTTGAACTGTCGCCGGGTTGCCAAGCCCCCGACAGTTCCAGCTAATACAACTCATTGCTCCCGGCGGGTCTGGGAACCAGAACCCGCCGCTAGCTCGTTTTTTGACATATGAATCTCCATATCTTTCTCACAGGACTGCATCTCCTCCGATCCCGTCCCCGAGGCCTTCCTCTTCTTTGTCAAAACTCCCTCGGCTTGCTGAGAGATCTCCACCTCCGGATCTTCAATACAGATGTTTCTACTTGGATTGTAATTTGCTGGTTTGGTCTGATTTGGTAATGTCTGATCTTTTTGTATTTTTATAAATATCAAAATCTGGTCTAAGACAGATTATAGTTCAAGTAAAAACATCATTAGCTAATTTTAATTAAAAAAAAGGTCATTAGCTCCTTCACTTTTTTTTGGAAGATTAGCTCCTTCACTTGAAATAATATACTCCATTTGAACTTTTAAATAATGAACGGTTGGTTATTTGAAACACGATTTATTTGAATTGCACCCGCACCCCAATTCTCATTTCTTCTCACAGATTAGACCGAAGCTTTTCTCTACGGCTCAAAGAGAGACAAAATGGGGAAAGATCTGAGCGACGATCAGAAGTCCTCCATGAAGGAGGCATTCACGCTCTTCGACACCGATGGAGACGGAAAGATCGCGCCGTCCGAGCTCGGTATCCTTATGAGGTCACTCGGCGGAAATCCGACGCAGGCCCAACTCAAGGCCATCATCGCCGACGAGAAGCTCAACGCACCCTTCGATTTCAATCGCTTCCTCGACCTTATGTCCAAGCACCTCAAGCCGGAGCCTTTCGATCGCCAGCTCCGCGACGCCTTCAAGGTTCTCGACAAGGACTCAACGGGTTACGTTGTGGTTTCGGAGCTAAGGCACATCCTCACCAGCATAGGCGAGAAGCTCGATCCGGCGGAATTTGATGAATGGATCCGAGAGGTTGATGTTGGATCCGACGGAAAGCTGCGCTACGAGGACTTTATTGCTCGCATGGTCGCCAAGTGATTGCGCTCCCTGTGAGTTTATTAATCCTCTCCATTTTATCTCTGTTTATTTTCGTCTCATTTGGCCAAGTATGGTTATAAGTGCTCCAAAATTTAATAATTTTTGCCATGTATTGTTAGCTGTAATCTTTTGTGCTGTAGTGAAATGTACTACATTGGGTGATGTTTTAAATATTGGTAAGTTCGTCAAAGTATTGGAATAAACATTCAAAAGCCCCGTGTAGGTCAATAGTTTGTCTATTTAGGTCTAAGTATGCAGGTCTAGATGATATTGTGGATATTTTATTTTAAAAAGATTTCCTTTTAGCTTAAACTGGGTGGAAAATGCAGTAAAGGGCCAAACTTGTTTGATTTGAACTCTGTAAATGAAAGTAGACAAGCTGCTGTATTGCAATATATGATGTGTAACAGTTTGTGAAGATCATTGGGCCAAGAGTTGGAGGCATAAGGAGGACTGTAGGAGGGTGGGGGGTCATAGTAAAACATTCATATCTTTTCTATTGATATAATTTAGTCACAATTTTTTCTTTCTATATTTGAATTCTTCAAAGATACTCAACTTTTTCTAAAATATTGATTCATCGTTCATGGTATGGCCTCTGACCTAATGTGTTGTATGATTGGTTTCAAATATTTGTGGCTTTTTACTGTTTAGACTTCACGAAAAGCCCAAACAATCATTTGCAGTAAACTGGTGCACATCCATTTTAATTTGTCACATTATTATACTGAGTATTTAACAAGACTACGGGATATTTCTTGCTTTTGCGTTTATGTTGTGGCTAATAACTAAGATCTGAGAACTTGAAAGATAATCAATTGTAGGGGCTATATATATGCTACTGTGCCCCAGGGCAAAAAATATAAATAGAACGTGAAAAGACCCTCAAGCCTATTACATCCTCTCATTTTTAAGCCTAAGACTCTGGGCTTAAATAAGGAACAGTCTTACATGTGGGCTGTGGCACACGCTTGGCTAACTTCAACGGGAAAACTCTATAAGAACCAAATTTTTGTTTTCAAAGACCTCGTAAGAACTGTCATTCGAAAAGCTCTTTTATGCATAATTCCTTATGAAGAAGTTCATGGATCCCTCAATTACTCTTTCTGTCTTCATGCCTTCATCTTATTACTTGATGCATTAAAGGCCGTTTGGTGGCCTTATTTTTCAATTTATCAGCCATATTAGATGCTATTTTAGCAAACAATGATCTCTTGATTGTGTGCAGTTGTGCATACCGTGTGCCCTGAATTGAGTAATAACAAAAAAAAGTAAGGCGTGTGGTACTTAGGTGAAATGATTGATGTTGATGAAGGTGGACAGTTTTGGTTTGCCCCCTTATACGGAGTACTTTTTTTATTTACTTCATTCAGAAAATGTATTTTATTTATTTTAATATGTAGTACGAACTACGAAGTATATTTCAGCAATTTCAATTATTTCAACCATTACTGTAGCAATTTTAATAGATTGAGCCACTCCCATCATTATAAGCCTTGCCAAATGAGGTAAAACTGTCCTGCGCTGAAAAGTAGTTTAGTTAGGTTATACTGACATTCTGTGTGCTCTTAACTCTTAATATGCAGGCATGATTAGGATTTGGTGATATGTTGAGTGGATGAATTCAGTTCCAAGTTTGCTCCCTCCTAAACACTAGTCTTTTGCATGGCGTGCTGAAGGACATCTTCAAGGCTGCTTCTTTGATGTTACTTTCAATTCTCTTTTGTTTATCAATGAACAATTTGCAAGTTGTGGATGTTATTGTATTTGGATTTTAGTAGTATGACCTTCAATCTTTGGAATCGTTAAAGCATGTGCATAATGCTTCAAACTCGAGCAAACGTTGAAAACTTTGTACCATATTAGCTAGAATTTTGATTAGATTGAATTTTAACATGCTTGACTTATCTGGGTGTAGTATTTGAGGTGGAATAATAAATAGTAGTAACAGTTAAGAAACCTTTTTTATTTAGTTAAAAGTGACTCAAACTAGGAGCCTATTTGCTATGACTAATATTCATTGAATATGTTGAATGTGTTCAAATTGTTAAAGTTGTGAATGAAAACGATTGAGTGTGTTGAATTAAAAAAAAACGGATGCATATTATTAATATAGGATAGGGAAAAATTCATGTGAAAATTGTTTCTTCCGTTGAAAACTTCTAAATAAAAAAAATACAATTTAATAGTTATAAACTGTGGAAGTATTGGACAATTATGAAATTACGATGAAAATAGATAGTAGCACATGATACTCTTCGATTTTATATACTTATTGACCCATAAATGCATTCAAGACACTTCTTTTTTGATTAACAATTAGTTCATCAAATTTAAGTATTTAACTTACAAAGCCAAATATATACGAAGTAACTTTTATCAAAAGTATATATCCATGTGATAAAATTAGTTAAGTATAAGATTTGGCTTATGAGACTACCATAAAACAATGAATAACATGAAACAATGAAAAATGTTCTGAATGCATTGTGGCTCACTAAAAATAGAAGAACATAAGACATCAAATGTTATTTATTTTTTCATGGTAGTCTCATACATTAAACGTAACTTATAAAGTCAAAAAATATACTATCATTTGAGGTGTTACCGGATCGAATTTTGATAAGCCTAAAAATATACAACACTTAAATTACTTCACGTAAGATAAGCCTAAAACTTACAATTTTAGATAACTTTCATTTGAGGTGTTACCAGATCGAATTTTGATGAAAATTTGTGAGTATGTTTTTCATGAAGTGTAGACTATGTCCACCAAATTTGACATTAAAATTCAATTGATAAGTCAGATAAATAAATTATTGAACTTATTGAGAGTGGGCATGATGTTGGACTTAACAGCAATGGCGGAGTGCAGCGTCAGAAGCTCTGTTGATAGGGATCCTTGCCAACAGAGGAAGGATTGAGAAGGTCGACGACGTGTTGGGGTGGGTTGGTCCAAATAAATAGAAGGGACCGGTTTTGAGATATTGGCCCACCTTGGTTTTGAATAATCTCTCTCTTTCAAGTTACAAGTTCAAGCCTCTCATGATTCTGTGGTGGCCTTTTAATTTTAAATATTCTATTCAATTTTAGTTTTTGTTTTTGAACTCGATACTGGTTGGTTTCGCCTTAGAGGTTTGTAGGGCACTTTGCAAATTAGTACTTTGGTTCTTTTATGTCCACTTCGGGATTTGCGAGTCATATTTCTTTTGGAATGTGATTAACTCAAAGTCTTGTTTAAGTGTTGATGATCGGTAAGAGACTTGTTGTATTATACCTTTCTGAATCCTAGGTTTCTATTATAGAGTATAAGACATTTTCATTAAAATAACTTATATTATGTAAATAATATTTGGAAAACTCTTAATACCCGGTGGTGCAGCTCAGCTGGTAGATAGAGGTGCCATAAGGAGTGTGTATCTAGTTCGAATCGTGACAACTACTATAAGAGGTTACTATACAAAAATGTACTCGTATATAACATATGCAACTTTTTGATTTTAGTTCAATTTATATTTGTTCAGTTAACTGTCTAGCCAGTATTGAAGCTGAGCAATTGATTTATCTTTTTTGGGAAACTCAGAATAAAATTGGGTCCAAATTTCGATCTTAGAAGTAAGGCCCACATCTAAGTCTAACTCATCGTCTCATCCTACAATTATTAGTTAACCCTAGAAATTCCAGGATTTCCGGTAGGCCAATATAATCTTCAATCGTGTGTTTCACAGTATCAGTTACCGAACACGAGCACAGCGGTAGCACTCCTACCGATTTGGAAGAATGGCATACACGGCGATGAAGCCAATGAAGCCTGGTATGGAGGAGCCCCAGGAGCAAATCCATAAGATCAGAATCACTCTTTCTTCTAAGAATGTCAAAAACCTTGAGAAAGGTCCCTCCCTCTCTCCCTCTTTCTGTCCCTATTAGAGGCAATGTGCTTCCGTTTTTGGAAATCGGACACACCATTATTGAATGAATCAATATAATGTCATGTCTATGTAGGCAGATACGTTCTATCTTAGTATTTAATTGAAAAATATTAGCTTTAATATAGGTACGTTTTTCTGTGATGGAATTTGTTTTAATATGGTCATTAGGCACAATTGCGATGAAATTCGTTCACAGAGATGTTGATCTTGGAGTTGCATTGATATTTTCTTTTGATTAACGTAGTCAATTGATTGACTTTTCCTGTTGTTAAATATTGAACAGTTTGCAGTGATTTGGTCCGAGGTGCCAAGGACAAGACCCTTAGGGTTAAGGGACCAGTTAGGATCCCCACAAAAGTTCTTCTTATCACTACCAGAAAGGCTCCATGCGGAGAAGGTAATATTGTTTTTATACTTTGGTTTAACGTTTTTTTTTAGGAAAAATTGAAAACAATAATCCCAACTATTGCTGGTCCGCTGAAAATAATCCCAACTATTGATTATTTTTGTATAATCCCAACTATATAGACTATCCGCCAATAATGGTCCATGACCATATATTACCTCTATAAAAAGTTAATTTTAAATAAAAATTAAGCGCAAAAATTAAAAGTTGAGATTATTTATAGGGATTACTTGTTATATCTCATCTCATCCACTTTAGAAACTACCAGAATTTATTCATAGGGACCATTATTGGCGGAAGGTCCCTAAAGTTGGGATTATTTTGTAATAATCAATAGTTGGGATTATTATGAGCAGACCGCCAATAGTTGGGATTATTACTATCAATTTTTCCTTTTTTTTAAATGGTAGGTTTCTGTACTTAAAAGTTTTTTTGGGTCTTGATTTTGGAACAGATACATTAATTGGTGTTATTGATTACTACTCCACTAAATATGGTCATTGGCCTTGTGTATGCAATTTGGAAATAGTTTTGTTGTGATTCATATTTGGTTCAGATCCATTTTTTTGTTGATTTATATAGGCTCATTCAGGATGATTGTATTTGGACCTCAACTAATTAAAAGCTTCACAAATAGAGCACAATATGTGCAGGGGTACTAAATTGACCATAACCTGCAAATTAAAGGCCAAGTCCAAAAGAAAGTTAACGGCCTAATTAAATAGTACTCATGTCCCTTTCTGGCAGATGTACCCTCCATTTGTGTGTGGCCTAAAAATACTCCGTATGAAGGTTTCCCTAAATTGAATTCCAGCAGTTTCTTATTTTCCAGACATTTCATTTTATTTATGATTTTAGTTTTTACATTTTATGCAGCCATACTATCTTTCCTTGAGAAATTAGAAGTTACAGACTTGCAATTAGATTATGAAAACTACCTATATGTTCTCTTCCAAAATCTATGGAGCTGTTGAAGAACGAAATTTGGGATGAAATCTTTATTTTATGGTAAAGACATCTTAGAGTCTATGTTTTGGTTGTGACATATTGTGTTTGAAACAGGTACCAACACTTGGGACAGGTTTGAACTTCGCGTACACAAGAGGGTGATTGACCTCTTCAGTTCACCTGAAGTTGTGAAACAGATAACCTCAATTACCATTGAACCAGGGGTTGAAGTTGAAGTCACCATTGCAGATTCTTAGTTTTTATGTATTTAGCAATTAATTTACTAAATTTAATTGCTGAATGAATTTTTGGATTTCTGTTCACATCTTCTCATGGACATGAATGCAGTAGGTTTTTATAGCATTAGGGTTTAGACAAATTTGTTATTCAAGAAAAGCATTGGGGTTTAGACAAATTTTGTTATTCAAGAAAGAACATACGTTTAAGAGGATATGGCAAATTATTATTTATATTAGTGCCATTTGGTTTTGATCTATATTTCTTGACTCTCATAATGTTTTTAGTTCGCTTGTCTTTCATAAGTTTCATTCCCCTAAATCTGGATTTACCATTTGTTGTTTATGCTTGGGAGCTTGTTTTCTGGGCGGTAACAAGTGAAAACAACACTTTTCTTGGGCATTGTGCTTGCATTAGAAATCGCTTAGAAAATAGGCCACAAGAACTCAGTAAATTGACTCATTGTTATGGCACAAAGGGAACCAAGTCCCTCCACTTTGACTTGATAAAGTAGAAGGGAGATAAGATGGTGACTTGGCGATCCATTAGGATGGAGGGTCATGTCAAGTTGTCCACGTGGAGCTGCCCATCCTCATAGGCTCTCACATTTTGGAACTACCATATTCATGTTTGGAATGATTCCTGTTCAGTGTCATTCAGGCTATCAACAAAGCACTAAGAATAAGTATTTCTTAGTGCTTTGGACATGGACATGTTGATTTGGTTAAATGAGATTTTTCCACCCAAAAGGCTATGACTGACGAGCCTAAACTATTTCACTAAACAATCTTTGATATATTGCTTAAAAGTTACAGCAACATATTTCATTTCATAAAGAACCTGCAAAACACTTGAATTAGGCAAAAAAAATAGTGTTTCCAGCTAATTATTAGCCAAAACCCGCAATTAAAGGGTTTGAATCTCCTATTTCTTTTTGAAAGGGGTTTGAATCTCCTATTGAAAGTACAGTGTTTGCGATTGTTTGTGCTTTTTTGAAGTGATTTTTTTAAAGAGATTATTGGAAAAGTGATTTGTAGTAAAAGTTGATAGTGTTTGGGAATAGAAGTTATTTTTGTTAAGAAGTTAAAAGTTGGAGTGTTTGGTAAAAAATGATTTTTAATGTTATATTTTATTAAAATTTCTCTTTGAAAGGGGTTTGAATCTCCTATTGAAACTACTTAAGGAGTGTTTGCGATTGTTTGTAATTTTTTAAAGAGATTATTGGAAAAGTGATTTGTAGTAAAAGTTGACAGTGTTTGGGAATAGAAGTTATTTTTGTTAAGAAGTTAAAAGTTGGAGTATTTGGTAAAAAAGTGATTTTTAATGTTATATTTTATTAAAATACCAATATACCCTTCTACAACTTACGAAGTAAATGGGAATTGGGGATTCAGAAAATGCTTGAAGCTTGCAATTATTATTATCGTAATTGCCGGCGGTGCTCAAGAGAGCTCTGGGTTCAAAGGGGAAGTTGCCCTCTGTGCAACAATTCCATCAAAAGTTCTTGACATTTTCAATCATTCTTTACTCTAGAATACGAGTACTTATATTTGACTTTGCAAAAAATAAATAAATAATACAGTATATAATACGGAGTATTGAAGAACAACAATTCTTAAATGAATTGAGGAAAGAGCAGGGAAGAGGCCACCTATTTCTCCATCCAACGTATTTCTGGCGGCATCTTGAAGCAGGGAAGAAGGGCATCTTCCAGCGTAGCAAGAAAGAGGGCGTCAGAAGGATATTTTGGGGTTTGGATGAAAGATTTCTCATTATAACTATCCCTAGAATTTGTGTTATTTACAAAAGAACCTGAAAGCAGTTAAAAGCACCCATATCCCAGCTTCTAGCTTTAGGCTTTAAAGTGCTTTTTTTAAAGTAGAAGTAGGTGTTTAAAAACACTAATTTCAACTTTTTTAAGTCAAAAGCTGAAAAGTGCTTTTTTAATCAAACGCAAACACTCCCTTTTTACAGTTATACTCTACAGAAATAAAAAAACAAATTCAGGAGTGCTTGGGTAATCATTAGAACCAATTCTAACCGCTCTGTGGAAGTAGTTTTAAAAAATTTGGAGCAGATTAACTTTTGGAATACTAATTCTGGTTCTTAAAAGTTAATTCTCAATACAATTATAAATGTTTTTGCAGCCAATGAAAAAGAGCACATGTGTAAAATCAAAGCTATATCTCCAACGCTTTCAATAGCCATGAACAGACAGATTATTCAGCGGGGAGGGGGTAAACCATAAGTTGTCATCACACACGGGAGTGAATTAAAGACACCAAAAGGTCATCGCAAAAGACAGGAGAGCCAATATCTCACTAGAGCTAATCCATATGCATGAAAGGAAAGAAAAGTACTGGGATGCCTCCTCTCATAGGGAATGTCCCAAAAGAAGGAATGAAGGAACAAGTCCGTGCTTTTACATCTATCATTCTATCAAGTCTCCATCAGATAAAAAACACTGAAATGGAAGAGAAAGAAGCCAACATCCAGTTTGAGAATTACAGCAAACCAATATATGCTTCTATCTACCATCTATCTTGTGTATGTATTAACTTCAGGTTGTTGCCCAAATGTGGAAACAGCAAAAGCATATGCGCCTGCAACAACCGATATGACACCAAGGACCAAACCGAAGAGTTGGAAGTTTGCTAGCAACTCACCCCGGACTTGGCTATCTACTGATCGACACGAGACTTCGTTCCCATTGAGGGTGCATCCATGAGGCATCATTGGACCATAAAGGGTGAATGCAGTCTGATAGAACCATAGGCCCTGAAGTGTAATCGCTATCCCGCTACACAGATCAACGGGGAAGCTGGTCGGCAAGACAGCCCCGGCAATGGTGGTCACTATGCAGAGACCTATAAGCAGGACAAGTATGAGATGGTAATAACCCTCGAGACCCTTATGCGTTGTCGAGTGGAAGTAAAACAGAAAATACTCGGCGCAGAATGCCGCGGAAGCAATCAAACACAAAGCTCCATCTGGCAAGGGTAGGAAGCTGCTGGTTTCAGAGAGTAGTGCTATGACCCCAAACACAAAGAACATGAGAAGCATGCCAGCATGCTCAAAGTTATTCATATGGGAGGGATTCAAAACTCCATTAACGAAGAGCTTGAGGTGTGTTGAATAAAACAATTCTATGCAAAAATCGATGAAACCTCCAATTGCTATGACATAAAGCTCCAAGTACTTCAGCTTCCCGTCGATACCCATAACGGGATTCCAAGCCCTAACCCGGAAAGATTTGGGGTCGGAGACATACCTCACTATAGCGCACCACACATGCCATACCCCAACCAAAAGAAACAGTGTTCCTGGCAATACATGCCCAGGGAAAGATCCCATTTCTATTTGAATACAAACTAAGAATTGTCTTTCTGAATCAAGGCCTATTACAATAAGAGCTCACTGATTTTGTAGAAGGAGCAACTGTAAGGCTACCTGATTCAAGGGGAAGAGCCGTTTATACTGTTCGGATCCTTCCAGCAGCGTCCAGAGGAGATCAAATGCAGCCAGCAACCAGAAGGCTTGCGCGATGTCGACGGCGGGGATTTCAACAGACGGGCCTGCGACTCGACGGGATCCAGATGGAACTGAAATGGATCTAACTGCCCACGACTTGAACAGTTGAACCGCGACGACTGGATCTTCCGGGCTTGACTTCTCACAAACAGAGAACATAATTATATCCCATCAACGGGCTGGGCTGGGCCGCACCGGGTCAGAACTAATAGGTTCGGACTAAACTCAATTTATAAAAACGAATTAGGGCTGGCTTTTGGCTTTAAAAAGCACTTATTTACCAAACACTATCAATTTTTTATTTTTCTCGGCTTTCGTGTCAAAAGTGCTTTTCCCATTTTTATACACTAAAAGCACTTATTTTACCAAACACTACCAACTTTTACTTTTCAAAATCACTTTTTTCTCAAACACTATCAACTTTTACAAATAATCACTTTTTCCAAATCACTCCAAAAGTGCTTTTTTAAAAGCACAAGCTGTTGCAAACACTCCCTTAGAATTGAGCTTTTGGGACGCGGTTCATCAAAATAAATTTTCTAAGAGACTCTGTTCAAGTTGATATTGAGGTCTTTAGTTGTTTTGAAAAAGATCTTAGAGAAAAGGGGCAAATCCCCCCTAAAGTTTTACCTAAAGGGTATCTAAGCCCCTAAACAAATTTTTGGAGCAAAAAACTCCCGTTTCCTTTAAAAGAGGGCATATCCCCCATCACTAACGGTTAACATACAGAGGCACGGAGTAGTTAACACTTAACAGCCTGGGTTCAATTTTTTCTACCTAAATCACATCCAAATCTAGTTTTTTTGTTTGTGAGCAAATATATTAAATAAATGAGTTTTTTTCAAAATTAATGTTAAATAAAAAAATATATACCAATTTAATGTTGAGTTAAGAATATTTCCTTAAGTACTGCCGCACTAACTCAGGTTAAGACAATCGGCATTGCGACTCGCCGACTTGGGTGTACGATGCAGAAGCACAGGGCGCAGGACAACATTGAAGAAAGACAATCGTTGGACCCAAAAAAAAAATAAAGAACCCCAATTTTTTAAAAAATGATCCAACATTTTTATTAATTCTTGGATCATTATAAAAAATATATCAAAATTCATAAGTTTTTATTATCTTTCATATGACACCAATATTGAATATATAAAAACAAAAATAAAAATTACTCCCTCTGTTTCATTAAGATTATCTCAGACACTATTCACTTGGTCAACACAAATTACTCTTAATTGCTAACTTTATATATCAATATCAAAATTTTATCAAATTTTGAGTGCAGACAGAGATCCGTTTGCTTTAATGTCGATCAAGTATCGTAAATCGAATTGTCCCAAACATAGTGGGACGGCGGTAGTAGTACTTTAGAAAAATTCTATTTTTTAACTGCTACAACATTTTTATTTGTATTCCGATTCCGATTATATTTAAAAATATATCAAAATTCATAACTTTTTATTATCGTTCATATGACTATAATATTTCATAGCTAAAAAATAGCACTTAAACAAATTTGTTTTTATAGAATCTTATATGGAGTATTTTTTTTGCACTCTGATGATCTAAAAAATATATCAAAATTCATAATTTCTTATTATCTTTAATTAATGGGCCGCTAATATTTCATACA